ATGGCTTAAATGGATCTTTTTTTGTATCAGTACAGTGAAGTTTTCTGTCTTGATTAATGGATCTCCTGAAGGCTTCTTCTCTTCAATGAGGGGTTTAAGGCAAGGAGACCCTCTATCTCCTTTCCTCTTTATTTTAGCCATGGAAGGGTTGAGTAGCATGATGAGAGCCTCTACTATCAGTGGTTGCTTGAAGGGATTTGAAGTTCAGAACAGAATTAATAGCATGGAGATTTCGCATCTATTGTATGCAGATGATGCTCTGGTTCTCTGTGATGCTGAACCTGCTCAGCTAATGCATTTGAGGCTGGTTCTCACAGTCTTTGAAGGTATCTCAGGCCTTCATGTTAACTGGAGAAAGAGCATGTTGGTGCCTATTAATGCAGTTCCAAACAGTCCAGCTGGCATTTTGGGTTGTGAAGTAGGACATTTACCAACTAAGTATTTAGGACTATCTTTGGGTTCCAAGAACAAAGCTGCAGATATATGGGGAAGGGGTACTAGATAAAAGTGAAAAGAGACTTTCAAGGTGGAAAGCACAATACTTATCCCTAGGAGGGAGGATCATTTTAGTGAGCTCTGTCCTGGACTCCCTACCCACCTACATCATGTCCTTATTTCCTATCCCAGCCAAAGTAAGGAGAAGAATTGACCAATTGAGAAGGAACTTTATTTGGGAAGGCAACAAGGAGTCCAAAGGCTACCATCTTGTTAACTGGAACACTCTCATCTCTAGCAAGAGAGTTGGCGGTCTAGGCATTAGAAACTTAAGTTTGCAGAACAAGAGTCTCTTAATGAAATGGTTATGGAGATTCAACACTGAGAAGCAAGCCTTATGGAGACAAGTTGTCAACTGCAGGTACGAGCAATCAGGACACTGGAGCACCAAACCAGTGAGAACTCCTTATGGAGTTGGCAATTGGAAAGCCATCAGGTATGTATGGGAGGAATTTACAACAAACATAAGTTTTAAGATAGGAAATGGGAGGATGATATCATTTTGGCATGATGATTGGATTGGTCATGGAGCATTGAAAGATCTTTTTCCTGATCTGTTCAATCTCACCACTTCACCTAATGCTACAGTAGAAGAAACTTGGAGCTCCCAGGGCTGGAACCTAATGTTCAGAAGGCTTCTCAATGACTGGGAAGTCACTAGAGCTACTGAGATTCTCAAAATGCTAGAAGGTTTTGCAGGATTAAGTGAGGCGGAGGATTCTCTTACATGGAAAGGAGGCAAGGGCTCTAAATTTACAGTCAAAGCTGCATACAACTATCTATCATCAAGAGGACACCCCAACTATTCTTGGCCTTGGAAAAAGATTTGGAAGATCAAAGCACCATTCAAAGTTATTTGTTTTTCATGGTTAGTGGTAAGAAAAGCCTGCCTCACTCTAGAAATTCTCCAAAGAAGAGGTATTCAGACCAACTCTACATGCTTTCTATGTCAACAGGAAGATGAAACCAATGAGCATCTTTTCTTACATTGTGTTATTACTAGTCAACTTTGGCAGCTCTTTATAGCATTAGCTGGTATTTTTTGGGTAATGCCCAAAGACACCTGTGAGAAAGCACGGGAGAAAATATATTATTGATGTATATACATATGTTACAATGAGCCCTATATATATACACACATAACATGTCCTACTCCTAACATATATTGGATTAGGGTTATTTATTTACTCCTATTTACATGACTATTCTAACACTCCCCCTCAAGCTGGTGCATATAAATCATATGTACCAAGCTTGTTACATATGTAGTTAATACGAGGACCAGTGAGGGACTTGGTGAAAATATCTGCAAGCTGATCATTCGACTTCACAAACTTTGTAGCAATATCTCCCGAGAGTATCTTTTCTCTAACAAAGTGACAGTCAATCTCAATGTGTTTAGTTCTCTCATGGAACACTGGATTTGACGCAATATGAAGAGCAGCTTGATTATCACACACAAGTCCCATCTGACTAATCTCACCAAATTTCAACTCCTTGAGCAACTGTTTGATCCAAATTAGCTCACATGTCGCCATAGCCATTGCTCGATATTCTGCTTCTGCACTAGACCGAGCAACCACATTCTGTTTCTTGCTCTTCCAGGACACCAAATTTCCTCCTACCAAGACACAATATCCAGACGTAGAACGTCTATCAGAAGGTGATCCTGCCCAATCAGCATCTGAGTATCCAACGATCTGCTCATGGCCTCGACCCTCAAACAATAAACCTTTGCCTGGAGCTGATTTTATATACCGAAGAATGCGAACAACTGCATCCCAATGACTATCACACGGAGAATCCATAAACTGACTCAAAACACTCACAGAAAAGGAAATGTCAGGTCTTGTCACTGTAAGGTAATTTAATTTACCAACCAACCGTCTATATCTTGCAGGATCGCTAAGAGGTTCCCCCTGTCCTGGCATAAGTTTAGAATTCGGATCCATCGGAGTGTCAACCGGTCTACAACCTGTCATTCCTGTCTCTTCAAGAATATCTAAGGCATACTTTCGTTGTGAGATCACAACACCTGAGCTAGACTGAGCGACCTCAATACCCAGAAAATACTTTAGTTTGCCCAGATCCTTAGTCTGAAAGTGTTGCAAGAGATGTTGCTTCAATTTAGTAATACCATCCTGGTCATTGCCGGTAATAACAATGTCGTCAACATAGACCACCAGATAAATACAGAGACTCGAGGCAGAATGCCGATAGAATACAGAGTGATCAGCTTCACTCTGAATCATGCCAAATTCTCGAATAACTGTGCTGAACTTACCAAACCAGGCTCGAGGAGACTGCTTTAGACCATAAAGTGACCGACGCAAGCGACATACAAGGCCACGAGACTCCCCCTGAGCAACAAACCCAGGTGGTTGCTCCATATAAACTTCATCCTCAAGGTCACCGTGTAAAAAGGCATTCTTAATGTCTAGCTGATAGAGGGGCCAATGGCGACAGGCTCGGAATTGCAGGGCGATCCAACTGTCCTGAAGAAGCGAAGCCGAAAAATGGCCGGAAGAGGCCTCACGCGCCGGCGCGTGGGACAGACGCGCCGCCGGCGGCAGAGTTCCGACAGGCGCGTGACGGCGCGTGGAGGGCTATTTTCCGGTGATTTTTTCTGGGGTTTGGTCGGATCTCTCTTGGGAACCTTGTGGTGGTGTTGGATTTTGCACAACACTGTTAATTAGTGACTTTGACGCAATAAGTCACTTAGGTCACCGGAAAATTGCACGGTGACTGAGTTCTTTCTTCCCGGAAGTCGCTGGAATGATGCACAGCGATATGTTTCTCACTAAAGCTCTGATACCATGTGAGAAAGCACGGGAGAAAATATATTATTGATGTATATACATATGTTACAATGAGCCCTATATATATACATCAATAATATATTTTCTCCCGTGCTTTCTCACAACACCATTGGCCTGATATGCAGCTGGAACAGTATTAGGGGAAGAACTTGTCACAAGGAATGGTGGAAGATTGTTCCAGCTTGCATATGGTGGACAGTTTCGAAGGAGAGGAATGCAAGATGTTTTGAAGGCAAGAGCAGTTCAACACAGAAAATCAAGAGTTCTTGTATTTCTCTTTTTCATTTTTGGTGTAAAGAACAGTTCATTGGTGATGTAGAATCACTACTAGACCTTTTTGATTCTCTGTAAGATTTTCAGGTTGTACTTGTAAATATTAGATACCAGCCCCATTTTTCGGGTGCTGAAGAATATAATTGTTACCTTTTTCAAAAAAAAAAAACAAGTAACTAGAGATGGATAGTTACCTTTTTCAAAAAAAAAAACAAGTAACTAGAGATGGATAGAAGAAGGGGATGAGAAGGTTAGACTTAAAGAATTGGAGACGAGGAGAAGCAGGCACTTTTCTCAACAATCGTCATACCCCCCAAAATCACCGACCGCTACTCTTTTTAATAGAATTGTTCTTGGGCTCATTGCTCAACCCGGATCCCAAAATTATCCTGGTCCTATTGCTTGTTCTCGGCCCAATAGCTCTTCTCAGCCCAATAGCTATTTGTGTGTTGATATCCTTATTGGGCTGGAGTTGATTCATAACATAATTAATCATGGGAAAACTTGTTTCCCAACCAAACAACCCCGTAGAGTTCAAAATCTCTAGAAAGCATAGGATGTAAGGTAAAAGTGATAACATGATTTGAACATATTCTCAACTACTAGGTATTGCTCATATAGATCTTTTTATTCTATTGGATCCCAAGAGATTGTAGGTACTTCGAAACAACTATTTTCCGGGTGATTTTAGGGCTATCTCGTCTCCCCCTTATAACACCTCCACTAAGACCGGTGCATCTGACATTCGACGTAGGACATGACCGAACAAATCTCAAGCGACCTCGTCTCATTTTATCCTTGATGTGTGCTCTACTTGAACCTTAAATCGCAAATGTGCTCATTTGTCTAGCCTTGTATGGCAGCACACCATCTTGACATCCACATCTCTGCAACACTCATTTTGTGGATGTGTTGGAAAGGAAATTTGATATTTTAAAAATTGCTGAATCTAGTTTTGCATCAATCTGCTACGTCAACAACCTCTTGCCATCTGCATCTTGAATCATTTATCTCAGAATCAACTTTGACTCTTTTGTACCCTATGGACTCGTCCCTTGAAGAAAATTGCCTAATATCATACAACTCTTTAGATCAAATGACACCATAGATTATATTGTAGCGAAGAGAAAATTGGTGAGGAAATAAAATATACTTGTGAAGCAGACACTTATTTTATTTAAAGGAGAAGTTGTTGATCATGTGGGACCGAGAAGGGGTTTGGTTCATGAACCACATTGCTGGTATCAAAATTTAACCTTTCCAGATGATTTTTGTTTTCTTCGTGGTTTAAATTCCAGTCTATAATAACTTGTTTTACCAGTTAGATTAGTTGATCTTATGGTTAATGCCATTTTAACCATGAATTTTGTACTCATCTACTGCATTTTAATTTTTCTTTTTTTGGGTGGGAAGATTCAAAAAGCTGAGTTTCAAATGAGGGAGTGGAGATATTTTGTTCATTATCTTGTAAGTATCAGTTTCCCTAACTCTATAACTTTTTAAAAGCTCCATTTATTTTACAGTAAAACATTGTTGTCATCCATCTTCTGTTTAGTTGGTAGAGAGTACTTCCTCATGGATATGAATGCGTTGCATGGGAGTGAAAGAAGGTGATTGTTAGATATGTGCTATAACCATGCTTCTTTTTCCTTTTTCAGGGTTGGAACAAAAAGTGAGTACATCATTGTCAAGTTTTTCCTCAAGCAGAAGTTTAATTTGTTCTAAATAAAATTCTTGCTGGCAGCGAGTTTTCAAATTGACGTGCATTTGATTATCTGATAAGTTCCATAACATATGGTTCTTTAAAGTCAATTGGCGTAGTCTATAGACCTCCCCTCATTCTAGTTCACCTTCCATTCAACTGACTCAGGTTCATTCTTTATAAACTGTTGACCTGCTTCTAATGTTCCCTCCTTTCTTAAATAAGTTTACTGAAATCAGAATTTTTTATATGCTTCTAGCCTGTATTCTAGGTCAATGTTGTCTGATTATTGGTTTGGTATTGGTGACTGCAATTAGAAATCTTGGTTTATTACTTGGTCGCGCATAGATTGGTTTATTTGATTTACTTTCTATGCATTTCTCAAGGAACACATATATCTTTATTTCTCCTTCACTTTTTAATAGCTGGGATGAATGGGTGGGCATAGATCGACTGATGAAACTCACAGAAGAGAATATTCAGAAGCAGCAGGAGCTTAAGAAAAAACAGGATACAGATAAGAGTTCAAAGGGTGGACGTGGATCACAAATGAAAACAAAAGGCTCTACAGGTTAGATCACTTGTACTCTACTGAATTAGCTATAGGGTGGTTCTTTTCTACCCCTCCCCTCCTCTTTTTGTGGCGGACAGGTTAAGTTACTTCATTTTTTGTGCGATTAGAAGAGTCCATCTGTTGGCTTTTGAAGAAAAATAGGTTCATTAGGTTGACAAAAGCATTCTTTTCATTCTCCAGGTGTTAATTCATTTGCACAGGTTTAACCACCTGTGGTCTGAAATATTCCCTATTATGATGTGCTTGATGGGATTTTCCAGGAATACATGCTTTTTCTTGCTGTTATCTTATTTTTCTCCATGCTTCTTAAATGGTTATATTTCCTTCTTAACATGGGATTGAACTTTATAATGTACTTGAATGCATTCAGTTTTCGATTGATTACAGGGGGAAGAGGCAGAAAGCGAAAGAGTGATGTTTCGCAGAAGGTACATTTCTGGTCTAGTTTGCTTTTTCTGGTCTAAGGATCAGATGCTTATTTTTCTTTCTGCATCTCTATTCAGGTTTCTTTTCCACTGTAGTACTGAGATTCTATTGCCTAATACAATCAAGGTTGCAATAATGAAGCGAGAGTCCTTTTTAACTGTACTTTTCTGTGAAAAAATGTTCATTTATCTTGTCTAGTTTCTTTAACACTTCTTAATAATCGACTTAGAAGTTATACTCTTACTTGTTTGTATCTGATTAAAAAAATGGAAGTTAAACTTACATATTGAAAAGGATGTCACATCTGATGTTTTAGTCACACTTAATGCTGTTTGGGAGCAGCCCATTCGCATTGATTGCTACACTCTGTGGCTCCAATTGGCAATAGTTGATATCATTGGACGAAGATCTATATTAAAAATTTGAATGCAATTAAATATTTTTGAAAGCATTGTTTTGTTGTTGATCTCAAATGAAATGATGCAACTTTGCGGAGATGGGTAGCTAATGATAAAGATTACATGGTTTAGAAGCTAATTAGTTACTTCATGTATTTATAAATTCTCAAAGGTCATCTTTAAATGATTATGGATTGAGTAATCTCTTAAAGGAAGGCCTCGTTTTTCTTGATCCCCATTACTTCTGTGCTATCTTAATTTCCTTGATCAACGACACTTGGTTGTATAATGCTGTTTGCAAGTAATTCTTGTTTCATTTTATAAAAGCAAGAGTTTGTTTAGCTTTTGTTTCCTTTATCCCGATAGGTCTCTTTGTTTTATTTTCTTGATCAATTTAGATGTGATCATTTAGATTATAATCTAGTTGTTTTCCAGGACAAGTATGCTCCTCCTCCAGAAAAGCTTGTCAATATCCAAATACCATCACAATTAAAGAAACAGCTGATTGATGATTGTGAATTTGTCAACCACTTGGGCAAGGTAAAGACATGCTAAATGCTCCAACTTCTAGGGCTGTCTCCGAAATTTGTTGACAGGATATCTGCTACGCCATGTTGCTCGATTACTTTTCCTTGAAATATCTCCATATTCTCAATCCTACTCTCTTTTGTTTCTTTGTACTTGTAGTTAGTTTGGTGTAGTATGGGAGTTCTTTTTTCCTTCTTTTTTTTAAGTTAGAACAGAGCATTTGGGGTTTACTCTATGAACTGCTGTTTATTAAACTCATGTGTAGTTTTCCTTTGTTATGGGCCTTGAGTCAATTCATAATCTAGACTAAGGTGTACACCGCTTTCTTAATCTCCAATGAATTGCTTGATGTGAAAATGAATGTAAAATCACTGTCCACGAACAAAGAGGGATTAGTGATTACACCCTCTTATCTCCAAAATACTTTGAGACTTTGAGTTACTTTCTTTTTTGTTCATGCAAACACCTGATCTCTTTCGATAAATAGTAAATTTGGTTCTCCCTCCAATCATTCAAGCTAATTTGGTGATCCTTTTTCTCTCTCCAACAATACAAGTAATGGATTGATTCTACTTTGTTACTTCAGAATTGACGTGAAACTTCTTCAGTTAGTACTCTACTTTCACATATGAAATTAAAATTCTGTAAGTCTCCCTATTTCAAAGTGTGTAATGACTTATTCAAACATCTTAGTCGCAGTGTATGTTAGTCAAAGTAGGTCATGTCTTGTGGAATGAAAGCGGCAGATGGTCATTAGACAAACTTTCAACTTCATTGTTATTCCACTGTTACACTGTGGCTAAAAGATCAATTATACATATAAAAGTGAATAACAATGTCTTTGATATAACACAGCTGCTAGCATTTATTTCCATTGTCACCTCTTTTGTTCTTGCAAGTTGGGGCTAAATGAGATAGTTGACGTGTAATTGAAGTTATCAAAAGAGTTTTTGTAGGACTGCAACATAACTCTGAGCACTTCATCTAAGTTTATACTGAAATAGGTAGATATTTAACTTAGTAGACATAACCAGGAGAAGGAGAAATATTCTATTTATCCTTCTCAGAACTATAATTCTGATGAAAAGGATGTCTTATTCTAAAAACAAATATTACTGAAACCTAAAGCATGCTTTGAACCTGCTTGACTTCACTTCGTAAATTACATAACAGTGTGCTTTCTTTTCTGTTCAAATTTGTGAATCTGATGTGTCTGGTTCTTCCTTTGGTGGTGGTGGGGGTGTAATTGACATGTCTCTATTTTCTTAAGTTGATTGAGTTGAGGGAATATAATTTATGCAGCTCGTCAAACTTCCACGTTCTCCAAATGTAGATGAAATATTAAAGAAGTATCATGACTATCGGCTGAAAAAGGATGGAGTGTAAGTTCTCTATCATTTATGTCGACTTGAATGTTTCTCTAACTAATTGATATGTTGTCTATGTTATTTCCTTTCATTTCATTATAGTATACCCTTTTAGAATCTGTCCTGTTACAATAATAGTAGAAGAGAGGGCCACTGTTTTATGGTATTGTTCTTTGAACTTGATTGTTATCGATACAAAATGCTTTCGTTGTTGCAAAGAATCTTCTTAGTCGATCTGTGAGTTGGACTGCAAACTTATCCCTAGTTGCTTTTTGTTGATACCAAACTCTTAGGAATATGTTGCAGATATACCTTGCATTATCAGCTTCATCTGTTTCATTTATCTTCTGAAGATGCAAGAATCTGTTGAATTTTCTTCAATGGAGTTTTAATATATTGATCTATTGAGTACCAATGATTCCGTTCATCACTATTACAAGCTTAATAACTCTTCTTGAGCCGAGGGTCTTTCGGAAAAAGCCTCTCTACCCCTCTGGGGTAGGGGTAAGGTCTACGTACACTCTACCCTCCCCAGACCCCACTTGTGGGTTCTTACTGGGTTGTTGTTGTTGTTTACTATTACAAGCTTAATAACTAGTAAATTGAATTTACCTTAATTGATCTTGGGTGAAGGATATCTGATTCTGTTGGAGAGATTCTTAGTGGTTTGCAATGCTACTTCGACAAAGCACTGCCTGCTATGCTCCTTTACAAGAACGAGCGGGAACAATACCAAGAATCAATTAGAGACGATGCCTCTCCATCCTCTATCTATGGAGCTGAGCATTTATTACGGCTTTTTGGTATGTTCATTTTAATCGAATTTTCAAGCAGTTGATGTTGCATGTGACAGTTTAGCTTCATGTTATGTTTGAAACTTAGCTACCTATATTCGTTGACTTCAAAACCCTCATTTCTGGGAGTGTAATGAGCTAAAGTTTTCTGTTTGCTGACTTTGTTCCATCTGACTATACAACTTTCATCCAGTTTCTGAGGTCAAGAAAACCTTCTGCTTTAATCTAATACCTTGTAATAAATTACATGGAGTAGCCATGAATATTTGCAGATTACTTATTTGGCTATACTGAAGCCATAAGTGGTGAAGACTAATCCTATGTCAAGGTGTAAAATAATTTCTTTTAGACTTTTTGCATCAAATTTCCGTGTTGCTGAGGCGCAGGTTAATAAAAGCTTTTGCAGCCTTATTATATTATGTATGTTAAGTGAGTGATACCGATGCTTGTGAATGCGTTTTCTGAGCTTTCAATGTCACTTCATGATTGTGAAGTTAATGTTTGTTTAAACTTGACTTTCACATCCAACATCGTTACATGCCTTTAACAGCCACTTCTCTTGTTATCTGCAGTTAAGTTGCCGGAGATTCTGTTCTACGCAAGTATTGAAGATGAAACATTAACAGAATTAAGGCAGAAGTTACAAGACTTTCTCAGGTTTAGATATCTTATGTTTCTGGCATGGTGATACAGGTTTTCTTAACTTGATTTTATCCGTTGGAATACTTACAAAGAATATGAGAAGTGTGTATGTCTACCTAAAATAATGAGCATGGAAGAATATATAATGGCAACCTTAACTTAAACCTAAACTAAGTACTTAATCTTGTCAATCAAAAACTTATGAAGGGAAATAAAAGAATAGAGTACTCCATCTAATAACTTGGAAATTACAGTTGTATTGCCTAAGAAATTAATAGAATGAATTATAATTAAAAATTACTATAAGAAATTATTTTTCCCCCTTTCTGTCTCGTCTAGTCTCTTCGGGTTGAAAACATATAATTTTGTCCTTAGTTTTGGCTTTCTGTGATTAATTGTGAATCCATGTAATCTTCTCGGTGCTTCTTTATATTCATGGAGTTCCAAAAGATAGTTGATTTGAACATAACTCCAGATAAATGGAAAAAGTGGACATTTGAGTTGCTATTCTTAGCAGAATTGTCATATCCGTGTTGGATCTCTTTGCTACGAAATTCTTCCAAATAAAAGCCACCTCTTCAAAAAAAGAAGGTAGAGGCTGATTAATTGAAATCATTAGTTTGTAAATTAAGACTTTAAATGCCAATTTCTCATCTTCAAGGCCATCATCAGACATCAATTTGGGAGGATCAATCATTATACTTAGAACCCCCATTAAATTAACTCATGATATCATAGATGCATAGTATTGATCATCTTCCATTTATACAAAAAGAAATGTTTAATCATTTTCCATGTCCTAAATATTCAATTCAGCTTTCGGGGAGGTTATTTAAGATCTTGTTATTTAGGATTGAGGAATTAGTGTGATTGAGGGATTGGATACAGTTACTGAGAAGCTCAGAGAGGAACCAGAAGATGAATCAGTGGAAGATGAAGAAGGGAATAAATCTGAGGAAGAAGATCTAGAAGAGGAGAGCAAGACTAAAGAGAAGAATGACGAACACAGAGAAGATGGAGAAGACGAGGTCGATGATCACGATCAAGAGAAGTCTGATGTAGAGGTTGATCAAGAAGAGGATACTGTGAAGACAAGGTAAGAGGAGAAGATGATGAGAAGGAAACTGAGAGAGATCCTGAAGTGAACGATAGTCAGGTGGAGGAAGAGGCCGTCATTGAGAGAGAAAGGGTTAGAAACGGGTTTCGGATAATGGGGTGTTAAATCAGTTCGGGGCTTTTCGGGTGGGTTTGGGCATTAGTGAGAAAATGGGTTAGGGTGTTTAAAATGCTGCCACGTGTCCACCAAGAATGGGTCCGTTAGATGGAGAGGTAGATATATTTAAATGGGTAACGGTAGGGGTAGATAGTGTTGAATAGTATAACAGATGGCACATATGACTAATATTTGATAGTACAGGGACACAGCCTAAAAAGAAGGTAGAGGCTTATTAATTGAAATCATTAGTTTGTAAATTAAGACCTTAAATACTGATTTCTCATCTTCAAGGCCACCATCAGCAGGCAAGACATCAATATGGGAGAGGATCAATCATCATACTTAGAACCCCCATTGAATAAATCATGATATCATAGATTCATAGTATTGTTCATCTTCCATTTGTATATAAAAAAGGATTAATCATCTTCCATGTCCTCCTAAATATTCAATTCAGCTTCCCGGTTGGTTATTTAAGATCTTGTTATTTAGGATTGAGGAATTAGTGTGATTGATGTGCAATTTGTGAGTGACTCTTTCGATTCTATCCCTACCAGACGCACAATCATGCCCCTTAAAAGAAGGAAGATCGATCTTTAGCTGAACTTCCCCTCGGTAACTTGTTCTTGCCATTGACTTTCAATATCGAATGGATTACCATGATTATTAGGTTATCTTGTGCGGAAATCTCCTTACTCCATAGCCATTAGTACAAGTCTAATCTTTCCTAAACTAAGAACTATTATTTTGCAATTGCCTTTTAATAATGGATGTTTGTTGCTCATTTTGAATGTAGTTACATTGCCGCCAATAACTATCTTCCTTCCATGCCAGATTCCTGCAGAAGAATCAAAGTGCATTTTTCCTGTCCATGTACCATTCTGCGGAAGGTTTTGATGTGGCTGACAAGAAATAGGATAACTGAATTGGAACTTTTCTTCTCAAGTGTACATTATCACACCTACTATGTATATTCTCTGTTCTCCAATGCAGAACTATGTTGTATTACTAGGGATGTTACTAGTAAATTTTGCTGCATAGTAGCTCACACATGTTTTCCTACTTATTGCCTGTGCAGTGGCTATGCCAGTGTTCTGGTTGTCCAGCTAAATCTTGTTTCTTGAAACCATTGTTACATATGGGTAGAGGTGGCAAAATGGTTAAAAGAAAACAGTTATGGATAATGAACCTACTTAGTGAACTATTTAAAAACGGGTCGAATATGGATAAGAACTATATTATCCACTTAGAAAATGGTTAACCAATGGATAGCTAATGTGTTTAACTTTTACATTTGTAAAGCCTCAAATTAGGGTTCCTTTATCCGCTTCAAATATGAGTTGGGTCGGATAATTTATCCGTCTTTTGAATTACCCGTTTTCAACCCGTTCATATCCGACCCGACCTGCCAGTTTGCCACCCCTACATATGGGAAAGAAATTTGCTCCGTAAGAGGTGTCGACAATGTTGAGGTGCATTGAGTTGTCTTTACATGAGACGTATTTCCTATTTCATGGCATGACGCTCATCCCTTTAGTCCGTAAATTATGTATTAAGCCTATATTAAATAATCTATCTACTTTTACCATATCAAGTAGTCTCGAAGTGTAATTACTAAAAAGTAAATACTGCACGTTAGAGATTTTTTCTACAAGATGATTTTATTGTCCTTTTTTGTGATGTGGACTGCTTAGATTGGAACGTAGGCTGATAATGATGCCCATGAAGTAGTCATAAAGATGCCCATGAAGTAGTCATAAAGAGTCATTGATCAAGTTAGGTTAAGGCGGAGCAAGCCTCTGCTGATCAAGCAAAAAAGCAACAAAATGATTCAAAAGCATGTGTATGCTAGCCTTCTATTAAAGCATTGAATAGCACAATTAAGGGTAGGCTTTGTAAGAGTTAAAATCAAATATATACACTGTTCGCCGAACATCATCATCTGCAAAACAGGCTCTGCTGTTTAAACAAATGAAGTATAGAGCATCTTCCATTGACAATAATCAACTTTATCCTAGGATAAGCACACAATGATCATTGTCATTTGTCATATAGCAAGTATTGAAAAGAAAAATAAAAGTGAAAAGAGAAAACGAGAAACTAATAACAATCCTCAGTGCTGTTAAAGATTAGGAAACTTTACACAAGACTAATATGTGGAGTTTCTACAGTTGCAACCTTGCTGTCCCCAATCACAAAATTAACCACTGCAGCATTTGTATGACGCCTTGAATAGATGTGTTTCTCTCATCTTCATCAAGACTTGCACCAAAAACAGCAAAACAGCGCAGAAGATCGCCCTTATCTCCGTGAAAACTTGGACAGCAAATATATCACAAAGAAGCAAAATAGTGCAAAAAGAATAACATGCATCACATGGTTTGATCCTTCCTGGATGATACTCCTGTTCAACCGTCTCATATTGTTCTTCACCCCTGCTTGAGCTTTGATCAATGTCATTTGCTGTGATAATGGGAAAAGTGTGAGCTTTTAAGGATAAATCATGAGAATCTCAGATAGACCGACCAACCAACACATTTATAAACAATGCCACACTAATTCTAGGAAAGAATAGTACTTCTAATGGCTTGAAGCAATCTATTGCAGCAATTTGCTGAACGGGATAACTATTAGAAATACACCATTCAAATTTACAATCAGTTGAAAATATGCAGTGTATAGTCCAATATATCCCCGCACAAAGTACACCCTTAAGAACAAAGAAAAAAGAGAAAAATGGAATCAAGTTTGGGCTTATTATTAGATCTAACAAGGATGTATCTTTCAAATCAATAGAAAACCTATAAGAAAAGCATAGAGAGACAAAGACATTCAGGCAGGTTGGCATGGCAGTACGTAGACAAACAAAGGTTACGAGTATACTGTCATTCCCAAAATATTTACAGTAATAACAATTGCAATTCCCAGCAAATATAGAGGGAGAGACACTGTTAGATTGTTATCCAGCCTTACGAACATAAATACCAAACAAGCTCCAATATACAAAAACTTAATTGTTAAGGCATATAAATATACGGAAAAGTGACTAAAAAGGACTTACAGAATATCAAATATACTTGGAAGAAAAGGAGAACAAGTTCATGGCATACCAGTTGGTTAATAAAATCATTCTGATATTTTGCTTCAGACTTAATTTCTTGGGCTACCTGCAGCATGGAATATTTATAAGTACTAGCAATGGGTAAGTAGGAATAAAAATCTGAAACCCTGACAAAGATGAAACAACAAGGCCAACAAATGAGACATTGGAAAAGATGACCTATAAGGAACATATAGTATAAAAAGATATTCTGGGAGTCCTGCAACAGGACTTACACCCAAAGAAATGTTCAACTAGAAATACAAAACTTTAGTGCTGCTTGAAAATTCAGTCTAAGACATCGCGATTATTAAAACATCTATGCAGCAGATGCATGTGGAGGTCAACAATCAGTGCCAGTGCTACATACAAGAAAAAGGGGCTGTGAGAGGTAGAGAGATGATGTCTTTGTTCTACTGCCGAAATATGCGAGTGACAATCAGATGGTTAATTTTCTTACCTTCTTCAAATAAGATCACGTCAAGAAGTGATTGTTCCTAATATCGGGACAGCAACAGTTAGGCACACATCGAATCCAACTTACACTGGAGTCAGAGGAGTATCACACCAGCCATGTCTTTTGGTACCATTTGCAGCTTTTCGGTATTAGTGTCTAGATAGCCGGGAGATCAAGAAGACTACATTGGCAGTCGACTATGAAAAATGGGAAGTCGTATTACATTAGCAGAAGTAAAAGATATAACCTCAATGTTGAGCCCAAATTCAGAAATCAATATCTTTTGGGCCAAGTTGATTTAGACCAGAAAAGAAGGGATTTAGGCTTAAGATTACTGCAAAGAGTGAATTAACATTTTTCTCATAAGTCATAATAGTAGTGTGTGGGCCAACTTGTGCACACATCAGCCATTTCACCGAGTACCTGCTACCTCCAATTGGCACAAGTATCGGGTAACTCTACTTGCCAACGCTTAGGCATATGGAAATAAATAACCTAGTGTTTTTGTCTCTCTACGGTGACTAGAATCCTAGCTCCAAGGTTTGAACTCACTTCATTGACCACTAAGCGACAATCTTGGGTTGATTAACAGCTTTAATTATCCAGTACGATACGAAATTAATGGTAAAAAATATACATTTCCATTCCCAATTCTAAGATGAAATCCTAAATTAAAGGACAGAGAGCAACATTCCTGAATGCAACATTGTGTGGTTTAGTAGAATCCCGAACGCAGTATGTCATTACGCTTTCGTTTGTTCGTGGAAGAGACTTCAATTATCTTCAACCTCTATGCCTAACAAGTTTCACAATGTTTTCTAAGAAATATTGTTATCGGTGTCCCAACACAACACATCACCTTATTTAAAATGGATCCATGACATAACACATCACCAAATTTGATATGTACATACATATTAAAGACGCCACCGGTTATGCAAAAAGAATATCCTCCGACAAAAAATACAAAATACTAAAATATAGAGCCAAAGACAAGGTGATAGGTAAACATACATTTCTAAGCTGTTTCACTTGCTTGCGAAGACCTGTAATCTCATTATCTAGGTCCCCATGCATCGGATCAATCCGCACCTGTATCTCATCTGAAACACCTACTTGCCTCGTACTCAATCCATCTCTGATCAATCAAACAACAAAAGAACACAACTCAATTTCTCAAAAATTACAAAAAGTGCATTTATGTTAATTTTCTCCTAATTAGGTAATGCTTTTGGTAATTTTTTGTTACAGAACACTTCTCTGTCATAATTCAAATTGTGCAAGCAATTAGAACCACAACAAATTATAATTTAAGAAGACGATAATTTTTTTCCCGTTTTTCATAGATACCTGGATCTGTGGGAAGCAGCACCGTAGAAATCACCGCCTCTATGAGAGCTAGAAGCCATTGAAAGAAAAAACTGAAGGAACCTCGAAACCCTAGGTTCACGAAAAACTTTAAAGTATCAACAAAAAGGATTGAGAATACAACACACCGAAAAATACTTCTGTGCTGCCAAAGATCGTCCAGTTTTTAAATTTATTTTTAAATAGAAGTAGAATTTTGTGTTCAGTTAAGGAAGGTAGCTGTGAGTCACAGCCTGTTACCTTTTTCATTGATGTAAGGTGACGTTGGCAGGTCATGTCCTCCGTTCGATTAGGGAATCTAACGGTGAAGGGCCGACCACTTATTTGCCAGGTAATGGGAGCTACACGCAGAATATAGATCCCACATTGATAGTAGCAGCTAACTTTTGAGTTGCTTTGTTTCTTTAACCAATGACTCAATTCCACGTAGGACGAAGCTGTGTGGGAATGTAGATTGACTTTTGACATCTTGAAATTTTAGTAATAATTACTCGTGCCATCCAATTTTCTTTTGTTAGTAGTACTTCTTAATTTTAGGGCTGTTCACAGTTTGACGAAAAACCGATCCAAACCAAAAACTAAACCAAACCGATTAAGTAAACCGACTTAGTTTTTGATTTGGATTGGTTTTGGTTTTAAATTTTAGAAACCGATAACATTTGGTTTGGTTTTGGTTCCACTATAAAAAAACAAAAAAGAAACCGAACCAAACCGATAATATATATATATATATATATGATACTATCTTTTTATAAGTTTTAAATATTTTATACATTTTAATCATTGTTTTGGACTTTGGTTTATCCTACTTATTTCTTAAAAAATTATCCCAAGCCCGAAACAAAAGAAATAATCTTCCCTAACTATCTCATCTCACGCACGCTTATTTGCTCTAACCTAACAGAAGAGTGTCCAAAGAAAAACCTACCATAAGAGTGAAGAAGAGCAAGACCAGCAGCGGCAAAAGCTTGCGAAGGTTTTTAAGAACCTAATGTCTTCAAGTTAAATATTATTTTTTCTTTGTTACTCACTTGATTTTTAATTGATTCAACAAAAGTGCTGTCAATAAATTTTTGTTCTTGCATCTGATAAAATGGGTTCCAATTTTTTTTCAGATGAAACAGATTGAGGTTATAAGATTTGGATGTAAAGGTCCATGTTTTGTCCCTTGTCCTTCTGCATCTTG